TGTTACAAAAGAGAGCAATAAGGATTGTAAAACGATTTGACTATTACGAACCAACAAACAAATTGTTTATTAAATTACATGCTTTGAAATTTGTTGATTTAGTTGATTTCTCTAGTGCACACACAGATAATGTATAAAGTATATAATAATATACTTCCAAATTGTATCCAGAGGTTGTTCACAATAAGGGAAAGACAGTATAAACTAAGAGGAACGTATAGCCCATGTTTAAAAAAAAATAAAAAAATAAGGGCAAGAACTAATATAAAAAAATAGATGTATATCTTTCAAAGGGGTAAACCTATGGAATAATTGTGATAAGGAATTAAAATTATGTAACTCACTTTGTACATTTAAGAAAATGTTTAAACTAGGTGATAAATAATTATATAACTCAATATGAATAATTTGTGTTTGTAATACTTAAACTATTGTAATAATATCTGAAATGTGTACTTTTGTAATTATGTATGTTTGTGTACATTTTAGGAAATGTCTTTTTGTTTTAAATGTATTATCAAATTTTCATTGAATTCACTGAATTCAAAAATTCAGTGAAAAAGTGACCGAAATAATTTTCTGTTGAATTGAAATTGAATTGTATGGAGTTATGCTGAGCTCCTTTTAACTGAGAGACTACATGGAATGTGAGACCTTATAATAATTTAATCCATGATGTCGCAGAAACATTGAAGTGAACTTAAAAGGCTAAAAGGTTATTGTGAAAAAAAACTTGAAAGAAAAGGTGACCTGTTACAGTATGTGAAATATACACCATTCCTTATAACGAATGGGAAAGTGTCCAAACTTTTGACTAGTATTGTACTATAAAATACACAAAGAATATCGGCCGATATATTGATATCGCCCCTTTTTTAATCCCTAATATCGACCCCAAAAAAAACCTATATTGGTCGGGCTCTAATGAACAGAAAGAAGGAGTTCAGGATCATGGGAGTTGAGGAGTGACAGACTCACCGAAGGTTTTCTCCAGATCCTCACATCTCCTCACTTCGTTCACAAACTTCCTCTGGAACGCGTTCACATTTGGATTCAGCTGAGATGAAGATTTCAGACAAAGACGTGTCATTTATCCTCTTTGTGACAAAGCCAATGTAAGGCAAAGGCACGTTAAAAACATGTAAACGAAGCACAGGGTTCCTCAAGAACAACAATAAAAGAGAGCAGAGATTCTCTCACGTCTCTGAACTCCACGATTCCCAGCTCTCCCAGTTCACTGACACAGTTGTAGGCTGATCCCGACTGGAGGAAGAGCTGTACCAGACAGACCTCTTCACTGCGGAACAGAGAGCCCATGACCTGAAACACACACAGATCACACAGTCAAACCGCATTAATGGCTTCTTCTGAGACACACTAGGACGATTCTTGTGTGAACAGACATGGCACTTCCTCTTCTGCTTTGAGTCAGTAAGCGTGTGAGCATGAGTGTGTGTTCCTCTTTGAGGGACTTGTCATGCTTCATAAAATCACCTACAGTAAAGCAGAAAATGACTGTAAAATCACAGGGTTACACGGGCAATGTCAAACTACATCAATGTTTTTAACAATATATTTGAATTTATTGAATATATTAATAATATATTTTAAACAAAACCTATTTTTGTATAATTATCAGTACATTTTAGGAAATGTCTTTTTGTTTATCTTGTATTATCAAATTTTCATTGAATTCACTGAATTCAAAAATTCAGTGAAAAAGTGACCGAAATAATTTTCTGTTGAATTGAAATTGAATTGTATGGAGTTATGCTGAGCTCCTTTTAACTGAGAGACTACATGGAATGTGAGACCTTATAATAATTTAATCCATGATGTCGCAGAAACATTGAAGTGAACTTAAAAGGCTAAAAGGTTATTGTGAAAAAAAACTTGAAAGAAAAGGTGACCTGTTACAGTATGTGAAATATACACCATTCCTTATACATTCATGGACAATATTTTCCATCTATAATTGATGTTGACTGGAAAAAGGTGGTATTTGTCAAACACCCGATTTCTACATTTGGGCCACACTTACCAATGCACTGTGCATATATTCAGTATATTCCTATTTCAAAAACACCTGGTGGTTCATGTTTGACTTGAGAGGTTACAGCTAGACCACGTGATCTGATTTAGATCACATGCATCATCACAGGTTTTGACAGCTGATTACTAGCACTAGCAGACAGACACATAAGATCTAAAACAGCTCAACATCAGCCAATCGAGCCTGAGCAAATCAAGCCCATGATAATCCAATGAATGAATGCTGAAACACAGGGAAACACAAATCTGGGCCACAGTTCCTCTTTCTACAGGAATTCCGCTGCATTACAGGACAGACTGTTTTAATGAGGAAACTTATTACAATTCCTCCGTGCATATTATATCATTTTATCAGATATACTTTTGGCTGTTTGTTCATTTGAATAATGCATGACACAAAATTTTCATTTTCGTTTCCCTGACACTATAAAACATCACGAACAGCAGTAAGCAAAAGGTATCGATTAAGTGTGCTTGATGATGTTCAGATTAAAGGTTGGCTAATGCTGAAAGAGTCGAAACTGGCGGGGTAACGTTACAGAATACGCACCAAACAATCACATCAGCTGTGATCTGCAAACTTACCGGATGACAAAACACCGACAGCGACACCGACGAAGATCACCGTTAGCCTCTGGACGTGGATGTCTTCTAACGCAGCGCGCGGCGTGTCTTCTTGAAAGAATAAAGCTCTAACAGCTGCACTGAGAATCACCAGCTTCCGGTTTCTTCACACCGTCAGGTGACTGCAGCTCGTCACGTGACTTCAGGGCCGCTTCCACCGGGCCCCAGCTGTCTGTCCGTGAGACGGAGTACTGATTTAAGCGGGTTTCATTCACACTTTGTATAATCGTTTACATCGTGTCTGTAATTTGAATGTAAGAAATTCTGTGTGATCTGCGAAATGAAGAAATTATAGACATTAATACTTTTATTTAGCATGTAAAAGGATGCTTTAAATTGATCAAAAGTGATGATAAAGACATTTATAATGTTACAAAAGATTTATATTTCAGATATAAATGCTGTTCTTCTGAACTTTCTATTCAAAGAATCCTGAAAAAATTCTACTCCCGCTGTTTTCAACCTAATAATAATCAGAAGCAAATAATAATCTCGAGCAGCAAATCAGCATATTATTATGATTTCTGAAGATCATGTGACACTGAAGACTGCAGTAATGATGCTGGAAATACAGCTGCGCATCACAGAAATACATTACAGTTTAACAGATATTCACTTAGAAAACAGTTATTTTAAATAGTACAAATATTTCACAATATTACTGATTTTGATGTATTTTGGATCAAATAAATGCAGGCTTGGTGAGCAGAAGAGACTTCTTTAAAAAACATTAGAAATCTTACTGTTCAATAGCTTTTGACTGGTAGTGTGTATAAGTGCAAATTCTACAATAATAAACAACATTTTAAGGTGCTTCTCAAGGAATATCAGCAATATTTATAACTCTTTCTGTATCTACCAAAGCGAAGAAAACATTACTGTGCTTTTTTAAAGATTCCTATTGGCGTTTATTTGTATGTTTATGTGTATATATATAATTGATTTGACAATAAACAAAATAGGAACAAAAAGGGACATACAAGGCTAAAACATACCCCGAAAATGGTACAGCATTGTTCATCTACAATCACTAACTAGCCCCGACTAACATGAAGCATTACTCAAGCTGGGAGCCACCTGAAGTGCTCCAAGAGAATGTAGAAAACAATTCAGCAGGAAGTTGCAATGCTAGCTGGGACAAAGCTTAGCTACAGTATAGCTATAACTGTAAAAATGTCCCTGAGCCACCGACTCAGTGGAGACTTGATCTTGATCCACTGGAGTAGAACACAGCTTCTTCTTAAGAGAAGCTTAATAGTTTTATATTTGTTAGATATTAATTCATCTCCTTCTGAGATATTCAATAGACAAATCCGGCATCATTTTTATCTAATTGAAAATCTTGAGTCTGTTACATAAGGTTTCCCCAAGAGACTCAGATGCATGTGACCACACCACTTCCTCCAACCCAAAGCCATGCCAAGTTTAGACTGCCCCGGTGGCATACGAGCAGCGTTGATGTGGCATTTAGATGTCTTTATGGTTTCATGTTGCTCAGAGGTGGCATAAATGCAGTTACACAAATACAACTGAATAAAAAAAAAATCTAATGAATTTTGGACTGATCTATTTTTAGAGTTTACAGGGTTAAATATGGATCACAGTACAGCGGGTCAAACACAGGCATATGGAGTACGTACAGTCAGTTAAAACCAGTTAAACTCTGCCAAAATGGCGTTAAAAATGTTTATGCTTCACTTACATAGCCTTCCTTATATGGTATCAGCCCATATATGGGTTCATTTGAAAGCTTGGAGTGTCTTCTTTACAAAGAATACCATTCCTTTTGGTTTTTATATTCATAAAGCAGTAAAATTAAGCTTAGAAATGTATTCGTCCCACACACGAATTTCCGCCTAACCATTGTCGAGCTTAAGTGGTTAAGGTCAAAGGACTCATTGTCCAGAAACACAATCAATAGGTGAAAACCATACTACACAAAGCAGTGACTAATGCAGAGCAAATATGAACACATGCATAGCCATCCTCTCCCATTTTCCTTTCGTTACATTAGAAACCCAGTAGAGGGAGACATTCACTTCACCGTTACTCAAACCTGAGGCCTGGCAGGCAAGATGATACAGGAGAGGCCAAGTAGTACACTTTAGTGGGTTTATATATATATATATATATATATATATATATATATATATAT